TACTAGCTATTTATCACCTTCTTGTGTCTAATTTTTAATTGGGTTGTCTATTAATGAGCTGCAAAATTTCTTTATATATTCTGGTCATAGGTTATATGCATTATAAATATGGTCTGTTTAAGGACTACTTTTCATTTTCTTAATGATGTCATTTAAAGTTCTAAATTTTGACGGTATCTCATTTATCAATTTTTTTCTTTTCTACATCATGTTTTTTACATCCTAGGAAATTCTTGCCTACCCTAAATTCATAAATATTTTCCCTTATAATTTCTTCTTAAAGTTTTAGTTTTAGACTTTCATATTTAGGTTCATTGATCCTTTCAAGTTATTTTTATGTATGGAAATAAAAGGTTAACATTTTATATATGAACGCCAGGTGTTCTAGTGCCATTTGTTGAAAACACTATCTTTTCCTCTGCTCCTGAATTGAGTTTATGTTCTATAAAATGTTAATATTCTATAAAATGGTAATGTTAAATCATCTTTCAAAACTCAGTGGACCATATATGTGTGGTTCTATTTCTAGATTCTCTGTTTTATTTAAATGATTTATATGTCTTTCCTTACACCAACACTGCCTTGATTACTGTAGCTTTAGAGGAAGTCTTAAAATTAGGTACTAAATGTCTTCCAACATCGTGCTTTTTTTTTCTTTTTACTTTTCTAGTTCCTTTCTACTCCTACTTAACTTTTAAATTTCAATATCCAATTATTCATTTATAGCATAAATAAACTTGAATTTTTATATATACCTTGTGTTTTCTAATCCTGCTAAAGTCAAATACAAGTTCTAGGGGCTCCTAGAGATTTCTCAGCATTTTCTCTGTAGATGATCATTTCATCTACATATAAAGATTTTACTTCTACCTTGCCAATCCTATCCTAATTGTGTCATTTTATTGCCAGACTATTTTGGTTTGGGCCTATGTTTCAAAGTTTAATGGACGGATGAAGAGTAGGCATATCTGCCTTTGTTCCCCACCTTAGGGAGAAAGCATTGTATCTTCTCCATTCATATAAGACATTTTTGCTGAAAGTATGAAGTACATGTCTTTGATCTGTTAG